CTTAGCCGTATTAGTAATTTAGACTCTTTAATATTATCCTTATTGTTTTAAAACATACTCCAATAGTCGAAATTGGTTGACTGAATAAAAAAATGTTTGGAAACAATAAACGAAATATTTCAACAATTCCTAAAAACAATTTTTATTCAATTCAGTTGTGTAAAATGATTAATCAATAGATTAATTCAATTTAAGAGTAAATCTTAAGCCTTATACAAATTTTTATTTGCATAGTGTATTTACCACACTATATAAATTTCAAACAAAATAAATAGTCATTAGAATTAATTATATATAAAGATAAACAAATCTTAATAGCTCAAGTCAAATCTTAATAGCTGAACTTAAGAGTCTCGTATTAACTAATTGTATTAAATATTATGTTATAATATAATGCTGACTTTGCTATCTTTAAATATGTTTATAGAAGTAATTTTAATCCGTATTCTACTAGTCTATATTAAAGATCAGAAAATTCGTAATAAAAGGATTACTTCGTTATCGATATGTATGGCTTCTTCACTTTGTCGACATTTTTTTACAAATATTTTTCTTTATGTTACTTATAAAAAATAAATCAAAACAGACATTTGTCAGACAGATGATGGAAGGGTATTAAAATTGTTTACAATAATGTTGAAAACCAACACCATGTCAATCAAATTTCAAATTATAAGCAATTTTTTTTGTCATCAAATATTAATCCTTATTGTAGTGGAAATTTTTTTAATCACTTTAAACAAAAAAAAACAATGTTATTAACAAAAATCTAGTTACCTCTTTAAATACGAAAATAAAATTTATTGAAAATTGCTGAAATAGTTGGTAGCAATAGTTTGTATATGTCATTAAGCATTTTTTTAAGCGACTAATTTCTGTTTGAAAGATTAGACCGATACTAACGTACCCATCACCAGCATGAGGCAATATTTCAAAAACGCTAAAGAAGAAACTTGACACTTTCCAAAACTAAGTTCTGTAATTCAATAATAACTAAAGCAAGATGGTTCGTACGAAATCAAGACCTCCTTAAAGATCTTAAAACAGAAAGATTCGACAAGCACGTTACGAAATGAAATCAGAAATATTTTGACAAAGCTCTAAAGTGTAAATGATACTTTTCTGAGAAAATTCAGTACATTTTACAGTTTTTCTTTGATATAGGCGAAACTGAAAGCCCGGTGGCTGAAATTTCGAATGGTGTTTTTATAGTTCCGATACTATGACAGCCAATTATGGGCAATTTTAGTTTCGTCGATTCCGTTCGGGTACTTATAATGTTAAAGATGCACCTCGCACTGTCACCGAAAATGTCGAAGTTGACCGGCTAGTTGGTACGCGTAGCATAACCCAGAAGCTAAAGATCGATCATTTAATAGTTTTAAAAGGAAATTTGATGTTTGGATGCCACACCAATTAACAAAATAAAATTATAAATCTAATTTCTATCTGCAAAGCCTTTGCCAAAAGGAAGAACCCATTTCCTAACCTGTTCGGGACGGGCGAGTCATCAATGTAGTCGTACGAAATCAGGATAGTAAAAAATAAAAGGCTTCAGTTTGAGCATAGCTAATTTGACAGACTTATTTTTGGTTTCACTTTAAATCTAACGCATCCAATCCTAATGTGCTAAAAATGTAACTATGCAATTTTTAATTTGAACTAAGTAGTGGCGAATTAAATAAAGCAAACTATTATTACCCCGCCCACAAATAAACTGCTATAAAAATAATATGGCTACCAGTTTTATCTTTTCTACCCTGATTATCGACACCCTGAGAATGCATATAGTATGACTCGCCCGTCTCGAAGAGATTAAACAGGGGGTAACTGGTGACGAGAAATCGATCACATGCAACAACATTGTGTGAAAGCAATCGTGGTCAAATTAGGTGAAGCAGCTGAAACGGTTGCAAAACCAGGACTAACGGCAGGGAAGGTTCTGGTGTGCACTTGATGAGAATGAAAAGGAATTATTTATTATGAGCTGTTCGTTGAAAATTTTAGACTGACAGAACATTAGCAAGTGCGACCTCTGAAAGTGCGTTTTAAATGGAGCGACGTACTTTAGTTCTTTGTTTTTTAAGAAATAGTGGTTGCTAAACGTTTAAAAATAAAAAAATTTACATGAGCTGTGGTGTCTCAGGGGATAGAATCCCAAGGTGGTAACCCGAGTTCGAATCCCAGTGATGGCTTGTCGATACGAATTCTGCACCCGGCCATCACCTCATACATCAGACTTATAAGTAGTCCGCGCAGACTATTTAAAAAGTGAACCAGTTGTGCGCATAAACCCAAATTCTATTTTAAAAGTACTTGTGAGAAATTTATCATATACACTTTATAATAAAAAAAATCGACGCACCAAGAAGGAATTGTCCGATTGAAACGAAAATTGGTGGATAGGAAGACAATGAACAGAATAGTAAGTGATTAAAATTTCAGAACAATTGAATAATTTATTTCAGAGTTACAGTAACAAGTTCAATAAGGTGTTGACCCGCCTCTAGCCTGGATACAAGCTGCCACACGGTGTGGCATAGACCGATAAAGCTCCCGGATGGTCTCTTGCGGTATTTCCGGCCAAATTCGATCCAATTATCGAACGAGGTCATCAACATTCCATGCCATATGCAATCGCCTTCCCATCATATCCCAGACATGCTCGATGGGAGAGAGATCTGGTGATATGGCAGGCCAAGGAAGAGTTTGAAAAGCTTGCAAACAGTTTATAGCAACACGTGCCGTATGTGGTCTGGCATTGTCCTGCNATGCTCGATGGGAGAGAGATCTGGTGATCTGGCAGGCCAAAGAAGAGTTTGACAAGCTTGCAAACAGTTCATAGCAACACTTGCCGTATGTGGTCTGGCATTGTCCTGCTGAAAAATCAGCCCAGGGCTCTGCAAAAGGAACGATAGCAAAACATGTCTTAGGATGTCGTCGACGTACCGCTGTGCAGTAAGTGTACCTCTAATGACGACCAAAGGGGTCCGGCTGTCAAAGGAAATGGCACCCCAAACCATAATGCCTTGTTGAGGGTCGGTGTGGCGTGTAATAGTGAAGGCAGGATCCCCCCTCTGCCCTGTGCGTCTCTAAACACGTCTTCGATGATCGTCAGGAAGCGGGATTCGTCGCTAAAGACTATACGTCCCCAGTCGGCATCATTCCTGCCTGATCTGTTCAAAACATTCATACATACGAAATTTCAAAGCAATCGGACGATTGCCTCTTGGTGCGTCGATTTTTTTGTCATAGAGTGTATATTTGAGAATTGAATCTGTAATGGTTCACAAGTAAATAAGACAAACCAATCATATTCATAAATTTAAAAAAGTTTTAGACATATATTTACGACTACCACTTTCTAATTTTTAATAGATTTTCTATTAAATGGCTCTTTCGTAAACTGATTTACCTTCATAATGGTCTGAGCGGACTACATATAAAAAACCGTGAGGAGGCTCACACCAGTCACAGTGCTGACGTAAAATATCCTCAGTGGTAGACGGATCATGGGTTAGAATTCTCTTGTCAGGCTGTGAGAGGTTTTCGTGTTTTTCCTCTCCATGTATTGCAAATGGGGGTTAGTTCCAGAGATAGAAACAGCTACGGACTTGACAAAATCTTTTAAGAAAATGGTAGAGAACTACAAACTGAAATTTGGAGATATTCGCGTTATTTTGTCTTCTTTTTTAAAAGACTCAACACAACTTAATGGTAACAAAGTAGTATATCACATAAGCTTCTAAATTATTTAGAAATAATGGTGAGCTATTATTTAATGAATCGAATTTACTGAATTAGTAATCATACATTAAAGGACTACCTCTCAAAAATATTAATCCGCTGTCCAGAGCAAGTTGGGGTCTCTGTAGTTCCTCCACAAGGGCAAATTTCTGACAAATACTTGATCCAGGAGTTCCCTTGTCTTCTGAATTGGGTTCAAAATTGCAAGACTACGGAGTTGAACACTGATAGTCGTAAACTCAAATTTGGTTCATCTGTTCAACGACGATTATAAAAAAAATTTTGTTTTGCATTTCTAGTGGTTTGAAACATCTGCGAAATTAGTTTTACCAAACTGACTACACTGCACAGGAAAGGGTTAATAAAAGAGACGAATAACATTGAGGGCCAAATTTTTACTACATTTATATAAGTACTTTATCTTACCTAATTCGGGTGTGGGGATTTTAAAATCAAAATTAGTTTTGTTTTGGAAAATTGCAGATTTTTTTTTTCGACAATGCCTTTTTGGTTTATTTTACTTTTTTTCTGAATGAACAAGTTTATAAAAGACGTATAGGTGTAACGTATAGGGCGTATACATATCACATCATAAACTGAAATATATTCCTACCATTTCTTAAGTAACAAAGAAGTGGAGACACTTAGTATTCCGATTATTGTTAAAAAATCCTGGTGAGAAAATCCAATTCAAATTGTAGCTTTGCAGACGTGCAAAGCAGCGCAGAGAATTATTAGCTTCCTCAACTCATTTTGGTCGATCCGAATTCTGCAAGTGTAAAAATGACTTAATTTCTAAAAGTTTTGAGCGTGATATTTCAAATTATGCAATAATTTTTCAACTGAAAACCTTCCAAAACATTTGCTGCTAGAAGAAAAATTTTTTACATAGAGTTAGTATATAAGTGTTTCCATAGTTTTGTCAAACCCCTCTATCTTACAAACTATCTTTCTTTTTAAATAAATTAAATGCGAAACGGTTAAATAACATTTTGATAGGTAGCGCACAACATTTTACACGTGTTTATTTGTTTTTAGTTTCCTACAATAAACAAACAATGTAAACTTAACTTAAACAAAAAAAAAACAATCTGGAATCGTGTTATCAGAATTTGTTTAGTCAAAACACAAATGCCATACGCAAACAACAAATTACTAATTTTCAGATAACTCTACCTCAATTTAGTATTTCTAATCTTTTTTCTAATTTAAACTTGTTTTACTTTATCGTATTTAGACGTATCTGACAACCAATAGCGATAACAACAACGCGTTTTTATAATCTCACGTACGCATTCCACGAAAGTGAATCAGTTCTATTTTGCAAATGCAACAGATTCAAAGTAGAATAGCCAAAGATATTACTAATTGTTAATACGCCTTATTCAAATGTGTTCTTATAACCATCTGGAATAGAATAAATAGCGAGGTAAAAATCGTGCTAAAAAGCGCATGTATAAATAGCAGATAAAATCCTAAACCATAAGACGCTTACTTCAGTCATATACGTGATTTTGTTATTGAAGGATTAAGCAAGATGGTAGGAGTTATGCCACAGTTTGAGAAAACTGGTAAAAAACAAATTTATGTTATAGCATCAGGAGATCAGGAAGATTACGTAAGTTCCGTGTTTATTTTAGATCTTAAATGTTACTGAACTTTCTTAATAACATATTGTTACAATATCATTTATAAAATTATAAAGAAATTTCCTATAAAATTGCTCTTAGTCAAAAATTCAAAAGTTTATGTATATGATCTAATAATAGAATTTTTTTAATTTCATTGCTAATTTTTATTCTAATTCTGTCTCGCCTACTTTATAGCATATATTATTCATAGAAGACTGGAGTTTTTTTTATAAAAACAATGGATTAAACTGTATAACTGTATATATATTAAAAGGTTGTGATTTGATACATTTTTAGAAGAATATCATAATAGGCTTAGGCTCTGGAAATTTGGTGATTATATTTTTCTATCTAGATCTGGGCAGCACCATGCTATGATATTTGTGTTGCTTAATGATAATTATCTTATAGTTTTCCACGCCGCGGTGGATTAAGATATAGAGCGCTCGCCTCGCAATGCGGTGAGCCAGGTTCGAATCCCACTGTTGGCTAGCGATGTAAATCGGGCTGACCGTGGAAAGTTTCCGTACTTTTCCTCTCTAAGTCTATTAGTTCCATCAAAAATTCCTTTACGAAGGCTACATAGCTCTGATGCTTGATCCAGAAGTTCCCTTGTCTTCTGGATTGGGTTCAAAACTACAAGGTTACGGTGTTGAACAGTGATAGACGGTAGTCAGTTCAACGTTGATTATAAAACAATATATTAAATAAACATAGGTTTTCCACGCTATGTATTATTTATTATTTCTATTAGCGTGTTATTTTGAAATTTTACCAAGACTTAGTATAAAATGGTACCTTAAACAAGTTTTCATTTAATGTTTTTAGATACATAAAAAATTGAGTTAAAAATACCGGTTTTCTTAACACAAAAAACATTCATAGCTTGATCTTCTTAAGATTCGGTTAATACATGCATTATAAACTCTCAAAACGATTAATTTGCATTCTGAATTTTGACATTATTTCAAATGATACATCAACGTTATCAAATTGCAAAAACAGTATCTATTCGTTATTGTATATTATGTAAAAGTTATTGCTGATACTGTCTTGAAAACTACTTCCGAAAACTATTATGGGCATGGATGGATCAATGTCAGAATTCGAATTAACTGTTGAGTAAAAGTGACATTTATATGGGCGTAACCTTTTAATGTCATCTCAATATAAACTCGCTTCCATAATTCTAAAGAGCACGATTTGTGATTCCACCATAATTTTTCGTTAGGTACGTTTCAAGGTTAAAATTATTTTCCTTTTAATTAATGAACCGTTTTTAGCTTTAAGTTTTCAGTTGCATTTAACCATAGATGTCAGTAAAGTAACAAATGACCAATTACAAACTGTAACAATAATAAAACAGTGAAAAATTTCAGACTTAAATATAAAAAAAATTTAAAATATATATTTAAAGTTCTTCTTGATAAGGCTTAGAATTTCATTTTACAAACTTTACAGCCAAACATATATTTTTTTAACATAAATGTTTAATACAAAAATCATTTTGTAAAATGGTGTCTTACTTACTGCATTTAAATTTTACTATTTTTCTAAAAAGAATTATTAAATATCTATATAAATAATCCCAAGAAACTGATGCGGTAAGATACGTTGTTCCAACGGTCTGGAAAATGTTTTAAAGAGGTAGCGAAGGTGATATATATCTAGATCAGGGGTTTCCAACTGGCGGCCCGGGGGCCGCATCCGGCCCGCAAAGCCCTTTTTTGTGGCCCGCGAACTGAAATATATTAGTTGTTATTTTTTTGCGGACAATTTTCGTAAAAAATCTATATGGGTTTAAAATATTTTTCTCGTTAATAAAAACTTAATTTCTTCGTTTCTGTAAAATTTAACATGCCAACGGTGCAAAGAAATTTATTTCTCAAGTTTTGCATCCAAGAAAATATTTATTCAAATTCAAAAATAATCATGTATGTTTCTCTTTTTTATTTCAATTTTTTGTATTTTGGGAATATAATTTAGCATGTGCGTATCAGAAATTTTCTTGAAGAAATTCTCCGATTTAACTTTTTGAAACCACTCATTTTGGACGAAAATATTTACACACACATTTGTAAATTTAAAATGTAAATATCTATTCTCTGGTGATTGCAGCAGACAAACCTCAATTTTCTCATTGAATATTTTGTGTGCTACTATGTAAG